GTTGAGATAAGGAAAGAGTGTACAGGAGTACACAGGATCCAAGCAAGAGTTAAACTATGAAATACTAAAATACATTGACTGTAAGATCCTGGGACTCCACACCCACAAATTCAGTACAGCTGACTGTGGAAGATTTTAACTGGCCTGTAGCAACATAAACACACAAAAGCATTTGCCCAATTTTAGCCCTTCATCCTCTGTGAACCAATTAACAAATAATCTTCTTGTAGAAGTACATTTTAATACATAATTGAAGTCCAATGAGCCTCTGCTCTGTCTCACTGATACTGTCCCACCTCAGTGTCCAGTTGCCTATAACGATGCTGTCAGGCACAAAGCATGCTAGGGTGTGATAGTCGTGGAGAAACCACTTCCTCCTTGGGAATGCCTCTTTTTAGAATGGGAAGTGAATCATCGTTTTCCTATTTTGTGCTGTCTAGAGGGAATGTATGCAGGCTTACGTAAGCACAACTGAGGGCTAAAGTATACATGACTTAACTATCTATTAAGTCTTTCCATTCAGTGTATGATGCCCAGCTGGGTGGGTGAGTATCTGATGATCCTCTGATATTGCAACAGACATGGAGGAGCAATATAAGACTTTCCTGCTGTAATCCAAGGAAAAAATTTACTCTGACAGAAGATGCTATTTGTATTGGAAATAAATACTCCACTGGAGCTCATAATTATCAATAATTATCAATAATTCCCTCAACTGGTGCTAAGATGCCTTTTAAAAAAAAACATTGGCATATTAAATTAAAAAGGTGCATTCAAGCTTCAGTTCATTATTTTCCTTGTTATGTGCCACCAAGTGCTTCCTGCTTGTGGCAACCCCAGCAGGGTTTTCAAAGTGTGCAAAATGTTCAAGGAATGGTTTGCCATGGCTAGCCCCATTCAATTTCCATGGCCACGTGGGTATTTGAACCCAGCTGTCCCAAATCCTAGTGCTATCCACTACACTACAGTACCCCTCCCTTTACTCACTTACTGAGGAGTAAACTTACTTCATCAGTGAGGCTTACTTCTGAGTCAACATGCATAACAATGCACTATTAACATCACGCTTGCTTTGGGTTGTGCTTTTTATCCTTGATTGGAGAATGTCCAGAATGATAAGAATTATGTTAGATCCCTCCAGCTTTGCTTTGGCCCTACCTACTCTTGGCACCACCTTGTGCTTTTAGTCTCGCATGCTAGTGGAATGTACCCGCCCACCCCCAGATCTTTCCAACAGTAGAATTTGTCCAAGGCCAACAAAATATTCCACATCACTAGAATAAAGTAAAAGTCACAGGAAGGTATAGGATGGGATAGCATGACAACAACATTCCAGATTCTCCTCCAACATCACTTATCTTCTCCTCCCAGCACATCACTCAGACCTCAGCAAAAAAGAGTGTCTTTCTGGACAGCCGGTGGCAGCACTTCTGACTGAGAACAGAGATGGCAGCCATTCAGAAGCACTACCGCCTTTTGAGAAAACTTCTTAAGGAACAGCTGGAGAGGTAAATAGAGAGCTGCCTTCAGCAATATAGTCCAGAAAAAGTAACTTTTCCAAGTTCTTTTCTGCATAGGAGTGCAGCCACCATTTGGCTCTGCTTTGCACCAGCCACTTGTCATTTTGGATGGTCCCAAATATAACCCCCATCCTGATCTGGATGCCAGGTTCTGCTCAGCATTTAGAGTAAATGGAGTTTGCAAACTTTGAGCCAAATGGCTTAGCAGCTCTTTCCAAACTGCCCTTGCCCACAAAGCCTCACCTGAGCTGTGCGGTTGGCACAACTTAGAGGCCTGGGCAAGTCTGCAGTTGCTTGACCATGTTGATCCCTGGTATTGACATTAATATACATATAAACAGAAACCAGCAAATGACCTGAGTGGATCCCCCCCCCCCGTGAGATTATGAAAGCATCCTATGAGGTGACCAGTTGGGGTGTCATC